CCCTGTATGATTTAAGGAACCCTGTAGTAATAATAATAATACTAATGCTAATAATAGTAGTAATACTTGCAATCGTAGAGGTAATAATAATAAGTGACGAATAATGACAATAACACCGGCTCGGCCTTGGCCCTCTCTCATTTCTCCCAAGAAGTCCGTGAGCTCCAGGGTGCCGAGCGCCTGCTGCCGGGGTGTCGGGTTGAGTTCAGGATGCACGGAGAATGCTACACTACTATACTTTACTGTACTATACTGTACTATACTGTACTATACTGTACTGTACTATACTATACTATACTTTGCCATACTATACTATACTATACTATACTATACTATACGACACTTGTGATCTTTTTCGAAATGCGACCGTTTGCAAACGGGCGCGAAGCCCTGAGCGCGCACTGCCTCCAAACTGCAGGAAGCTAACACCGTAAAGCCGTAAGCACCCTTGTGATATCAGAACGTGCCCTGACGTTTCGAAGAGTGTCTGTCCCACTACCCCAAACAATCCCGAACAAGACACTGTGCTCTGGAGCGTGTTTCAGCGAGGGCGGGGCACTGCTCTGTTGCTTATAAGCGAGTCATCGTCATCATCGGCATCGCCAGGGTCCTCGTCATTAGGCTCTTCATCATCGTCACCGTCAACAGCAACATCTATACGATCATCGCCGTTGTTTAGCAAGGACGAACTCCCAAACATTCCGGGTTTCGAGACACCCCAAAACCCCAAAACCCCAAAAACCTAAACCCTATTCCACAAGTCCCAAACCAGCCACACTGTGCCCGTGCCCTGCAGTCGTCTCGGTTCAGTTTTTTGGCATTGGCTTGAGCTTCAGATGTGTGGCCGGGAAGTCTGCCAGGAATGGTGATGATATAGGGGTCTTTATTATCAGAATAGGGTCTGCGGGGTATATAATACTATATGGGAACCCGGAACCCCCAAAATAACATTCAGGCCCCTGTATTAAATTTGCATCTTGGATTAGGCTTGGGGGCTCAAGCCGCGTTCGGGGCTTCGGGAGCTTTGTGGGTGTTTGGGGTTTACCGTCTCAGTTTCGGGCTTGCAACCTACCGGTGCGAAGAGACCGTGCAACCTCCTATAGTCTCCATTGTAGTTCCTTTTTAGGGAGGCCTTATAAAATCCTTAATATATAATTGGTTAAACCAAAAAAGGAACTACTATTGTACATTATGCCCTAAACCCTAAACCCTAAACCCTAAACCTATAGTATCTTATAGAAGGAACTACAATGGAGACACAGGTACACCCCGAGTGTTCCACCCTGGAGCGGCCTCCACGGTCTTGTCGTAGTTGAGCTGGCCCTGGTGGCCAGGAAGCTTGCAGGAGCTGTAGGGTTTAGGGTTTAGGGTTTGGGGTTTAGGGTTCTGAAGCATGGCCAGCTGCCGCAGTGTTGCGTGTGATATGATGATGTATGACCCCCCTTACATCGAAAAGAGTACCTAGTCAACCAGAGGTGGGCTTGGGCTTTCGATGTCTTTCGATGCCGAGACCCGTAACCAGACGGACGAGACCCGACAGGACGGGACTTGATGGGACATGACGGTCATGAAGCCTATTCCGATGTCATCTTTCGATGTCAGTAGTTGTTCGTTGCTCGATGCCCTGGAAACGGAATTCGATGTCCGTACGTGCTACTCATCACCATACGCAGATATTCAGACTCATGGAACCCTGCTGTGAACCCCTTCAAACCCTGAACCCTAAACCTAAACCCTAAACCCTAAACCCTAAACCCTGAACCCTAAACCTAAAGCCCCTCAAATCATCCCTAGGCCCTAAACTTACAACCCTCAAGCCATTCGAAGGCCTCGCCGGCGTTTCTGAAGCATTCCACTGCTTTGGTGGCAAAGGACAACTCAAGAGCCTCTCAGCGTCTTCACTTACTCCCGAAAAAGGTTTAGGGTTTAGGGTTTAGGGTTTAGGGTTTAGGGTTTAGGGTTTAGGGACGGCTGCAAATACCTCACTGGTAGGCCTACGGCTTGGTTTAGGACTGGTACAGAATCTTGGGGCCCCGGGCAAAGATGACGAGGCTTGCTAAGTCTAACATCTGCAAACTTTCTCGGCTTGCTGTGGGTTCAATATTACAGGTTGAGAGGTGACCTCCTAAATGCTTTGAGAACAAACACTAAGCTCCCAAACCATGAATTCCAACCCCTAAACCTCAACTCCAAACCCTCAGCCCTACACTCCAAACACGGGAAGTCCTGAAACCTCGACCGCGCCATCAGAGGCGATTTGGAAACCACTAAAGAGGGTTTACGTAAGAACTGCAGAGCCCTTTCATGTAAATGGGAGTTTCCGACTAATATAGTACCCTAAATAGTAGGATCCTTATTATAAGGACCCCCAAATAAGGTACCCCTAATTTTCGGAAACTCCCAAATAAGCATGTAGTAGTCTTCCTTTTACGGTGACACTGATCAGCAGAATCGGAGCTCTTTCCCTGCAGCCTTTGCCATGAAACTGGGAGCTTTCAACCACGATCACTGTCACCACACAGCACTCCCTGTATCTTGTTCATGGTTGGGGTAGTATTAAACATTTAAATGTATATTCCTTATTGGGTTTAAGTACCCTTAAAAATGTAAAATGTTACCCAACTATGACAAAGGTATCCTGAACTCCCAACAATGGCTGCCTGGATGTTCTGCAGTATTGCCCGAAAAGCGGCGCCCGCCACATGCTGCATGTTTCTTCCTTCCGACCTCGACTCGTCGAAGGACTTGCACCCGGCCAGGCAGTCTGACTAAATTACGAAGGCCTCATCATCACGCAAGCCACGGGACATCGTCGTGTTCAGACATATAGATATAGATATATACTTATAATGTTCAACCCTGTCCCCAGCGTCACCATCATCTTCAGCGTTCCTACTGCCATCACTACTAATCCTGCCACGTGCTCCAGCATGTTCGTTGTTGATACTGACGGGCAACTTATTGTTTATCTGCTTCACCACCACCATATTTGTCGTCGATACAGCTCTCCTCATCATCATGCTCATCCGGATCCATGACATCATCGTCACTACCACCACCATCCTCCTCCGAATCGGTAATCATTAAGACCACCAGCAAGACCTGACCGCGCCCACCATCCACCAACCCCGACACCAACTGCATCAGCATCAGCATCGTCAGCATAATCGTCGTCGTCGCTTCGCAACATCATGCCTAACATCGTCATCTGGGTCCAATCCTTGCGGTCGTCGCCGTCGGCATCCATCGTCTCATCCTCGCCGTCCTCACAGCGAAGACGTTGTGGTCGCCACCATGAAGAAGAACAGCAAGATGGGGGTTTCCGAAAATAGGGGACCCTAATATAGTACCCTAAATAGTAGGATCCTTATTATAAGGACCCCCAAATAAGGTACCCTTATTTTCGGAAACTCCCAGATCGTTCCGGCAGCAAGACCCTCTGCTGCAGATGCAGACAACGCAATAGGCCCATCAAAGACGCAAACGCCGATGCTTGAACCCTAAACTCGAAACCTCAACCCTAAAGTCTATACAGCCTGTATGAGGGTGGTTCAAGAAAGAAGGGTCCAGTTCCGGGTCCCTTTTCGAAGGGTGCAGGGGCCCCAATTTAGACAACGACCCATAAAAAAGTTACAATACACCTGAACCCAGGGCTCCCGGCATGTCCCCACGCGCGGGTGCGGCGGCCGAGAGAAAGATGACACGAGGAGGAACTAGGGCCCCTGTCTATCAGTGCAGTTCTTGGGGAGAGGGGGGGGGCTCGTGGCTTGGGGCTGCGAGGGGCTTAGCTTGCTTGGGCTTTGGCATAGACTGCACCCTGTGGGCAGGAGATGGCGAACTTTGCAAGGCCCTGCTTAAGATGGCACATCGCAATGACTGCACAAGGACTCCTCGGAACACATTTTCTCCACTGCTCTCTACTCCGATTACTTACATCACCAGGCCATGAAACCCTAATTCCCAAATCGATAAGTCCGGTAGAACTCTAATTAAACCCTAGATGAACCCTAAACCCGAGACCCTAAATCCTAGATGAACCCTGAACTCCTACCCCAAAGGTGCGGAAAAACGGCTTCTGGTGCAGGGACGACGGCCCCTTCGAGGCCGATCCCTTCTGGAGCCGAAGCAAGCGGACGATGGGCTGAGGGGTTTAGGGGGTATAGGGTTTAGGGTTTAGGGGGTTAGGGGGTTTAGGGTTTAGGGGGTTAGGGGGTTTGGGGGTTTAGGGTT